CGATTTGTTTCCTATTTCGATCTCGATCAGTGACTTTTACAGAACTATTGGCTATGGTACTCTTAGATGGAGTATTAAGCTTACGCCATTTTTCCACTAACTATAAGAAATGACAGTATATTAGAAATATTGTTATGACTTTTGATTCGTATATTTTGTACCTTTGTAATACGATCATGAAGCCCATCATCACGTATTTTTAACGTCTGGATACTTTCTTCGACCTCAGTCATGATATCAAGATCGTTGCGTTTTAACGGTAATTTTACCAAAACAGAAACTATCTATATTTAATGGAATTAATGATTATTAATAAAATACCTATTTTAATCCAGACTAATCGAAATATATACCCTTTCAATAATTTTAGGTTCAGTATGTTCATTAAACCATAAATTCAAAACCTTTAGTCCATCGAGATTTAAAAATTTTCTCAAAACTTTTTCAACTGTAGTTACGTTAAACAGATAAAAATATAATTATGCTATGTATTTATATTTAAAAAATGCAGGCAATAAACAAAAGCTTAATACTACTTCCAAATCACGGAGCACATGAGTTGTAAATCTGGTTTGTAGACAGCTTGTAACATACGTTCAATTTAATTAAAAATTTCTTGACTATCTTCGAGCGGGTGTACTTATTCTGAAGTATGTATGCCATTTTGCTCTTTAGCATTATGTGGCATTCCGTAACTAAAATTGTATTCGAAAATTAGTAATCCTTTAAAAACCTCATTTCACCAACAAATGTTCATAGCATCTTCAATATCCTATGGATGATTCGGTGTAATTAAGTGTCAATTCATCGCCATCTGAAATACCACGACTAGCAAATATACCAGTCCCAGTTTTATTTCCCACTAGCCATTCTTGCTTATGACAATTTGGATTAAGAGAATATGCAATGAAGCGAGAAAGTCTTCACTTTTTTGCTCATTATTTATCTATAATGAATACAACTAATTTTTTAATTAAGCATGATGAGCACGAAATAAATTTAGAATATCATTACCTCGCTTGTATCAGATGGTGGGAAATAGGTGACGATTTCATTTTGACAAGGAAGCAAAAATTTATGTAAAGATTTATTTTTATATTCTTGGAAATATGAAGCAATTGGTTTAGACATGATAATAAAAAATATGGAAAATAAACAGAAAAGAATCGCGAGAGAACTATGTGATCAAAACGAT